TAGCTCTTCTTTTTTTTTTTTTTAAAATGAAAAATGTGTTTTAGTTAATAAAAATAATTTGAAGCAAATTGGGGCTGCCTGGGATCGAACCTGCGACCTGTGAGTTGAAATTTTGCAGTGGTACCAGCGAACCATCCAGCCATTTTGAGAACGGGTTCAACAAGTTTTAATTTAATATATTCTTTAATAATTATAGAAGTAATATATCGAGTTTAGTCGAATGACCACGGGTTCGGGTGACCCAAAATTAGTACATAAATTCGCCCCTGGCTATGACGTACATGAATACATAGACAAGGGATAGCAATAGTGGTATAATCAGAATGTTCGCTAAGGAAATTCAGAATATAAAGAAATAAACATAAGAAGAAGTCAATATATACTCTATATATACATAATAAATAATTTTGATCGTGTATTTATAGTATAATTTTTTGATGAACCCCCTTATGGTACCCTAACTCCTCCCCTAGGGAGGGATCCACCTATGTTCCTATATATTAAGGGGATTCATAATTTTATACATAAGTAAAAAATGTATTTACCCTATTTGTGCAGTATAATAATTTTTTGATAACAGAATCAGAAATTTAAATAAGAGGATTCAAAAATATATATATGTTATGTCAAGTTCGATCCAACAATTTATATATATGCAAGAAAATAGTAATATTTTACTCTATTTCTATAGTGTAATATTTCAACTAACGGGATTTAGTTGGACCCTTGTACCCTTACTTTTTGACAAAGGAGATTCATATGAATCGCTTCATTATATTGCATGACATGATTTCGCTCCTGATTGAATTTAGCAGGTTTAAATCATGAATACGTCTATTATAATTAATAGAGAACTATGAATTAAAATTATTTATAATTACCAGATATAAGGATTTGCCATTGCCAAAGATGAAATCAACAGTGCCTTCAATATAACAATCTTTAAAGAAATGTTTTCCACTGTCATCACAAAATGTATCTTGAAATCCAAACATTTTACAATTATACAATGAGGCTTTATCTCCTCCTGTCCTCAATGCTGCTGCTTGAGCTTTGTCACTTTTCCCATCTGGTCTTGGTGCTGTATTCTATAGAATAAAAAAAAAAAAAAAAGGAAAAAAAAAAAAAAATTAATTATGTCCTATTGATAAATATCGAAAAACCTAGCGAATTCTTTCAATGTATCATTTCTTAGTCTAATAGAATGTTAAGGTGCTTTTAATGTAGCCGATTTTTTTCAATTAGTTTCACTATAGCACTCATTGCTTTAGCTAATTATAATTGTTATCATTTTCAAGTGTGATTTCTATGTTATGTTTATGATCGCGCCTAAAAATGATTTAGGGCAAGTTCAGTGGGTCAAACTTATTGAATTGTGTCAACATGAAAAAATAAAATAGAGCACCTCATAATGCATCTTCACAGATCAAGAACTATGAGATCACCCCTTTCATTTTGAGGTGATGGAGGGATCGTACCAAACAAATATCTCATGTAGATGGAAAAAGATTCTCTTTCAAAAGTAGTTTTGTCTTATCTACGAGCTATAGAAGAATTCCTAAACGGCTGGCATATTGAGGTCTGATACATTGTTTTTATTTAAAAATTTAAATTGTTAACATAGAAAAAATAATTTTTTTCTTAATTATGTCTTCAATATGCTTCCTTGCGTGTTGACCTAATGTTCTATTATCAAATAAATAAATGAATTTTTTTATAATGGATGGTTAACAAAACATGGTAGAGGTCCATGCCAAACCCCACACAACCTCAAAACGACTTATTTTATTTTATTTTTAAAATGAAGGAATACGTACCACGAAGTTGATATTAACAGCATTGAAATATTCAGATTCAACAATCACAGTGGCACTGTCAACAGTAGTATATTCTTTTGCAGTTCCATGAAATATAATATTTGGGACATTTTTAGAGTCTCCATAAAATGTAACAAAAGGCTTTGTTCTCTCAATTTTGATTTTTTCAGTGTAATTTCCACCTCCAATCCAAATAATAACTCTTCTTTTATTCCCTTCTGGAATACTTTTAACAGCTTCTGTTATAGTCTTGAAATCACCACTTCCATCTGTCCTCACCTGTCGTTGCGTAAATTCAAAATTTAGAGTTAATAAATTTCAAATTCTACTAAAACCGATGTTGAAACATATATAATTAATAAAAAAAAAATATGTGTATTCTCCTCTTTGATAACTTAAACTGATAAGTAAGATTATGACGATCATACATGTTATCAAAGCAGATAAATTTTTCATGTGTTCGATTCTTATTGACACTCATGGGGAGGCGAGTCGTAATTAAATAAACAAAAAAAGTATTATGTACGTGAGATAAACTGATAAATAAGATTATAGTCATACATTTAATTATAATATCAAAGCAAATAAATTTCTCGTGTTCAAATCTTATTGACACTCATGGGGAGGCGAGTCGTAGTTAAATAAACAAAAAAAAGTGTTATGTACGTGAGATAAACTGGTAAATAAGATTATAATCATACATTTAAACATAATATCAAGGCAGATAAATTTCTCGTGATCAAATCTTTTTGACATTCATAAAGAAGTGAGTCCTAATTAAATAAACAAAAAAGGTATTATGTGCATAAAGGATGTGTTGATATATAATTAAATAAATAAAAATATTATGCATATATATTTTCATCATATAGTAGAAAAAGATACATGGAAAAACAAGTACTTATCAAATATCTTTATGAACATATTAGAAAAAGAGATAGGTGCACACTTTAACATGCATTATTGTAAGCATAATAAGTCCTAGCTCCTAGGTTCGAGTATAATCGTCATCTATTATAAAAAAAATTATTAAAAAAACGTACTTAGCTCATAAAAATTAAATTTGTCCAGCATGCGGGATGCACCATGAAGATTATAATTATGAAAAAAATCTCTAACGATTTAAATTTTTAGATAAAATGTTCACACGTTTCACTCACCTTAATAATAGTTTTATTAGCTTCAGCAGCTACAAGGGCAGGGTCTAAAGTGTCTTTTCTTGCATCTAATGGTTTAACATTTGCTTCAAACCAACTATTTAATTGTGATTTATCAGCTGGAATTGGAACTAAATCATCAGAAAATACGCCAATAATATTGAAAAAAAGAAATGTTATGATAATTGTTTCCACAACAAATATGGTATTTTTTCCAGCCATTTTTAATATTTTTTTTGGTTTTTTAGTTTCTTGAATGGGAAATATTTTTGGTTTAATTTTTTTATACAAAATTGAACAAAAGAAAATAGAGGTAACTACTCATATTTGAATGAGTGTTTTGATTGCGTAAATACACTTTTACACTATATTAGTATATATATACAAAATTATTATAAACAACCTTACATTAAAACCATCTATTAACGTAGTACTCGTATTGCCTTACAATATTTACCTACTGAACAGACAATGCAAAAAAAAAAATCAATAATATTCCATCATCCATATGCACTTTTTTAGTGTTACCATAGAGTTATTTTCTCTAAATTATTTACCACAATTTTAATTTAATCTCTACCGCTAATTATTTTTATTTTTTCAACTCTTCCCTAATTTTTTTTCTCTATAAATACCCACACTTGTTTCTAAGTTTGTAGAGAAAAACAAAAACAAACAAAAAAACAATTTTACCTATAAAAAAAACAAACAAAAAAAAATTATAAAAAAATAAAATAAAATAAAATAAAAATGTCTGGAAAAAATACAATTTTTGCTTTGGAAACTATTGTTTTAACAATTCTTCTTTTTATTCCTAGAGTTTTTTCTGATGATACAATTCCAATTCCAGCTGATAAATCACAATTAAATAGTTGGTTTGAAGCAAATGTTAAACCATTAGATGCAAGAAAAGACACTTTAGACCCTGCCCTTGTAGCTGCTGAGGCTAATAAAACTATCATTAAGGTTAGCTATTTTCGTAATTTTCACTTCAGATTATTCATAAAAAATTTAAAAATAACTTCAGTTTATATTCATGTTAAAACATTTACTTTGATTTTCAAATACCATTTTGATGTTTTTTCAAATCTTACAATTTTTATGTTCAAAAAGTATTTATTTTTCCTCTTTTATTTTCATAAACATATTTCATACTTTCCATTTTATGTGATTTTCTTTTGAAATTAATTTTCGATGATTATTCCGTTTTGAATAGTTGTTTAGTAAATCATATTTTTCCTTTTTAATTTATCATGCAATTTACGAATCTTTTAGACTATGATATAATGATCCCTTTTGAGCAAAATAAGTATCTTGTTAAATTCTTTTAGACGTTAAACGACAATCTAATATTTTGTCACTCCCAAAAGACTATATTAGCATAACCTTTATAAAAAGTAAAAAATAAAAAGGCAAAATTTAAATGGTGGCTTAAAAAGAGGGACATTTGCGTAAATATGCCAAAACTTTCATTTTAGTTGCTCAAAGTGACATTTTTCAATATTAAAAATAATTTAGCTTTAAACTTACCAATTTATACTTAACGATACAGAAGAATGTTATTTCATTCTTAAAACACAAATTTCAACCTTTTTAAAAAAAAATTGAACTTCATACTCACTCAAATACCTTTACCATAAAATGAAATGAAAGGAGTAACTCTTTATTATATTTTTTTTCTTATGATATAAATCAAATACTTTTGTATTTTTCAATATAAGATTATTACCATGTAGAATTTTAAATCTACTGACTCTATATTCTGAATTTTCGATCGCGATTGAAGGTGAGGACAGATGGAAGTGGTGATTTCAAGACTCTAACAGAAGCTGTTAAAAGTATTCCAGAAGGGAATAAAAGAAGAGTTATTATTTGGATTGGAGGTGGAAATTACACTGAAAAAGTCAAAATTGAGAGAAATAAGCCTTTTGTTACATTATATGGAGACCCTAAAAATGTCCCAAATATTATATTTCATGGAACTGCAAAACAATATACTATTGTTGAAAGTGCCACTGTCATTGTTGAATCTGAATATTTCAGTGCTGTTAATATCAACTTCGTGGTACGTATTCCTTTTTTCTTTTTTTTAAAGAAAATAAAAATACGCCTTTTTAAATAAATAAATATGAAACTGGTACACATCAACATAGTATCGTAACAAATAAAGCCCTAAGTTCAAGTTGTGGTAACCTATTATCAAAAATGAGAATCAGTTTCATACATACATGAGGGGAGCATGTTAAAGACATAATTAAAAAAATAAAATGGTGTTCGTTCTATTTGTCTTAGACTTTTAAATGAGATGATAATATACATAATTCAAAAAGTTTCGGAACTTGTAGACAATTAACTAGAGCAGTGAATACTATTACAAAATTAATTGCAAAAAGGACAAATCGATCACATTAAAATTACCTAGGTAAACCAAAAAAATAGTTATGTACCCTATAGACCATCCTCATAGTCATAGATATCCTCCCCCCCCCCCCTCCCCCCCCCCAAAAAAAAAAAGTGGTAGGGAAAAAATTCCATAACTCATTGAACTCAGAAATGATACATTAAAAGAATTCATTAGGTCTTTCCTAGATCAATGTTAGTTGATAGGTATTTATCAACACCCTTTCGTTAAAAAATTACATTGTATAGCTAGAATAAAATAATATTGACACTCCTAACTTCTACACAAATTTTCTTCTTTTCATTTTAACACATCAATAGTCGATATTCTGACTCCGCCACTGAATGTCTCTAACTAGTTTATTGTTGTAATTATTATGATTAGAATACAGCACCAAGACCAGATGGAAAAATGGAATTAGCTCAAGCAGCAGCATTGAGGACAGGAGGAGATAAAGCCTCATTGTATAATTGTAAAATGTTTGGATTTCAAGACACTTTTTGTGATGATAGTGGAAAACATTTCTTTAAAGATTGTTATATTGAAGGCACTGTTGATTTCATCTTTGGCAATGGCAAATCCATATATTTGGTAAGCAAAAAAAAGAAAATCATAACCATCTTTTCGACACAGGCGAATCTAACTTAATATTGATAGGGAGAGGTGGCAAAATCAGCCTATGTACAGAAACATGATCCATCCAGTTTAGCTCATCTAAAAGTTAGGTTGATAAATTGGATTAAATATATAGCTTAAATTAATCCACGAGAAAATTTATCAATTTTTTATAAAATTAATTTTTGGTTGATATTTTATATATAGTGATAATAAAGAAAAAAAATTATTCATTTTGTTTCGTAATCAAACAAATTATTAGAAAATACTTTTTATAAAAGATCGAGTTGAGTGGATTGTATTGAGATATGATTCATTGTTTAGTCCATGATGACATAGCCTATCATAGTGTGATCATTTGCAATTTACCCCTATTGTGCTGGTTTTTAATTTTTTCCCCTTATGACAAATAACTTTTTTGCGAGCACAAATATATAATTTTTTCATCATAATATTTTACTATAAGTTATGTATCATGACTCGTACCTTAAAGGAGTTATTATATCTTATTAAGCATGAGTTCAATTTTTAAGAACTTAACCGTTCATTTATCAATTCAATTCAGGATATGCATGCAATTTAACTATTTAACATATCTAAAAACTTTAATAATATTAATGAATTTTTTTCTTCTATTTTTTTTGGGAAAAATATAGAACACAGAGGCACATGTAATTCCAGGGGATCCAATGGCAATGGTAACAGCACATGCAAGAGATGCAGAAAATGTAGACAGTGGATATTCTTTTGTGCATTGTACTATTACTGGAACAGGCAACACAGCATATTTGGGCAGGGCATGGAAGCCTTTCGGTAAAGTTGTTTTCTTATATTCTGATATGACTGATGTTGTTCACCCTGAAGGATGGTCAGATAATGGCAAACCCGAAAACGACAAGTAAGTCACTAATTGTTAGTGTATAAAAGTTAAATTTAATTATTATTATTATTTTTTATCGTTGGATTGACTTGCATGCCCCTATTGGATGATGTATATACGTCAATAAATCATTTTGGTGATAAATTTGATATTTTGAAATGATTATGTTCATATAAATCTATTAATATTTTTTTTTATTTTTTTTAAATTTTGTACTCAGTAAAAGTGCATCATATTATTATTTTTTATATTATCCGTGCATATAACCTAAATTCATATTATTTTTAGGTCGGTATTTTATGGAGAATACAATTGTAAAGGAGCAGGAGCAGCTTTGGAAAAAAGAGTTGGATTTACAAAGAAATTAAGTGATGCAGAGGCAAAACCTTTTATTTCCCTTGCTTATATTGAAGGTTCCAAGTGGCTACTTCCTCCTGTGACACTTTAAATATTTGAAAATTATAAGGACATATAATTAATAGTCCTAGTAATTTTTTTAATTTATTTTTTGATTTTTTCAATTTTTGTTGTAGCCCATCCCAATTTTATAATATGGGGATTGAGGCATAGTTTTGTTGTGATTTTCAATTTTTGGGCTGGGTAATCGATTTTAACTAGTTTGAGATTAATATTTGGTTATTATTACTATTTTTTTTATGTAATTCTTTTTTATTATCGTATAAGAACAATCGAGGTTTGAAAATAAAGGTAAAGTATTAAAACCGTTTTATATTTCTTTCTCCTTGTTTTGTTTTGCAAATTCCCTATTTGTGCTTTTGATGTACCGTTATGCACCTTGATTTTTGATTTTTGGTTTTTCTGTTATAATTGTTTAGCAGTATTTGTCCTCTAACTTAAAGACTTTCTTAATTGGTATTACTGACTTGTCCATATCTACTGGAATGTGTTGTGCACTACCAATATAGGACATATATTCTCTAAGTTTGTATGCCCATAAGTGTGAAATTCTTCAAAAAAGTCTAAGATTGATTCAGATATGAAGGGACTAGGACCTTGGCTTAACTCTCTCCTCCTCACTTGCAAGCTTAGATTTTATTTTTTTTATGAATCAAACACGTGATATATAAAGGGAGGAGTTTTTGGCCAAAATCATCCTTAAACTATACCCCAAACTTATACTACATCCTTAGAGTATCATTCTTAGCAGAAAACATCATTCAAGTATTTAAAAGTGAACAATTTTCATCCTTCTATTTTAATTTATCAGAAAACTAATAGATCCCACAAAAATTAAGTCATTCCTTTCTAATTATTAGTCTTAGATACGCCAAAATATTATCGTGAAATTTTTTGGTCATTGAGTTT